AGCAATTAAAGAGTCATGTTGGGACACAGAAACGTTCTCTGCCCCATCCTGTGTGTGCTGGGTCCATACTGGCCATTCTGTCAGGATTGTCAGGCTTTGGACCCAAACACAACACACCGAGACAAAAAGTTCTTTCAAAGGTTTACTCAAGATTCAGCGAGTATAAACACACGTGTCTTGGTAGTGCAGTCTTTCAACAAAAGATGTCTCCACTTGAAATAAAAGGAAGTCTCATGAATAAATGTGGAGTCTTGATAATGAACAAAGTCTTAGAACAAAAGGAGTTTTTCAGCGAGTATAAACACACGTGTCTTAGCGTGTCCTGTCGCAAAGATGTGCTAAGGACCAGAAACTTCACCCTTGTTCCTTCTTCTCTCGCTGCCTCACCAATGAAGGCACTCATAGTGAACAGAGAGTTGCTAGCTGTGAAGCTGGCACTGGAGGAGTGGCGTTACTGGCTCGAGGGGCCTAAGCAACCTTTCGTTGTTTGGACCAACCACTAGAACTTGGAGTACTTACGGTCAGCTAGGAGGCTGAACTCACAGCAGGTGAGTTTGTCTTTGTTCTTCACCAGGTTCAGCTTTACCCTGTCTTATCGGCCAGGCTCAAGCAACAGTAAGCCAGACGCCCTCTCACAACAGTTTTCAAGCAAGGGGGCACCTGAGTCTCCTGAGGACACAGTTTTACCACCTGCCTGTCTAGTTGCTACTGTAAATTGGAACATCGAGCAGAGAGTCAAGGCAGCACTGGTCTCACGGAGGTCCTGCAGTGTCGCTTCTGGTGGCCGTCTATGGTGAGAGATACGCACCAGTTTGTGCAAGCTTGCTTCACCTGTTGTCGGTCTAAGTCTTCCAATCTTGTCCCAGCTAGACTACTCCAACCCTTACCGTTACCTCACCGGCCTTGGTCCCATGTTTCATTGGAATTTGTTACTGGCCTGCGCATTTCAGGGGTAAACTCAGTAATTCTTACTATTGTGGACAGGTTCAGCAAGATGATCCATTTTGTTGCGTTGCCCAAGCTCCCTTCAGCCAAGGAGACGGCACAGCTTGTCCTTATTCATGTATTCAGGATCCATGGGCTCCCTCTGGATGTGGTCTGGGACCAAGGTCCCCAGTTTACTTCAGTGTTTTTGTTCACTGATTGGTGCCACAGTGAGTCTGTCCCGTCTTTCCTTCATTGGAGAGGGAGGTCACCTGCCCATAGTGATTCTTGAGACAACCCTTCGCTGCCTGACGTCTGAACACCCCTGCGCCTAGTTAGAGCGTCTTCTGTGGGTGGGATATTCTTACAACACTCTGAGAAGTTCGGCCACAAGACTCTCTCCCTTCCAATGTGTCTACAGATATCAGCCCCCCCCGTCTTTCCTTCATTGGAGAGGGAGGTCACCTGCCCATATGTTCAGTCATTCGTTCGGCAGTGTAGAAGAACCTGGTCCCAAGCTCGGACTACCCTGTTAAAAGCCAGAGAACGATACACTTACTATGCAAATCGCCGCAGCTTTGAGGCACCCTCCTACACCGTGGGCCAGAGGGTGCGGCTCTTTACCAAGAATCTGCTCCTTCAGTCTGATTCCAAGTTATCCCCCAAATTCATTGGCCCATTCCCTATTGAAAGGATCATCAACCCAGCTGCTGTCCAATTAAGACTACCTCGTAGCATGAGAGTTCACCCTACTTTTCATGTATCCCAGATCAAGCCTGTTCTTGGGAGGCCTCTTTCCACAGTCACACCCCAGCCGCCCCCCTCCCCGCCTGATTGACGGAGGACTAACATACACTGTCAGATGTATCATCCGCTCCCGCTGAAGAGGAAGGGGTCTCCAGTACCTATTGGGAGGATCGGGAGGGATACGGCCCATAGGAAAAGTCATGGGTTCCATCTATCGGGAAGGATACAGCCCATAGGAAAAGTCATGGGTTCCATCCCGCCACATCCTGGATAAATCCCTAATCCGGGAGTTCCACCAACACAGAAATTATGATGATTGCCTAAATTGTTGTAGTAGATCCTCTTCTTCTGTCTCTAAATATTGCCTGTTTCAGAATATACTTCGCCTCTGCCCAGAGGCTGCTGGGTTTGGCTCTTAGTCGATCCCCATAGAGTGAAAAGCATCAGTCATTAGAAAATCAATGGATAGAACTAAAAAAAGACTTCTGAAGCTCCTTCAAAAACATTAGGTTATGGTCCTAAAGACCTTACATATAATGTACTTTACTTTGCACTGATTTGGCACACCGTTACTTCTCATCTATGTGCACTTAAGTCACATCTGTGCCAAAATACACATAGATGAAGGAATGAAAGCACAGCAAAAAGAAAGATGGGACGGCTGCTGCAGTAATGAGACCCAGTGAGACAAGGTCACCTGAAGTGAATGGGATGAGGAGCAGTGGGGGCAATTCCCTCAGGACAAAACATGGCACAAATTTTTGAAAGTGTAATTAGGCAGGATGCCATCACCGGATGCCACAGGCGGAGAAGACACGGAGAGAGATGAAGAAACATCAAGGACAAGGGTAATGTGAGTCACCTCTGAGATGCTTTATCGCTCAGATTTGACATCCTCTGGCATTTACAGGGACATATTTGGTTACTTTTGGAAATGGAAACACTACATAACAAGTGTATGATGTTATGTTAGTGTATATATATGCATATATATGTATATATATTAACATGACATCATCACACTTGTTTTATATATATATTTAAATTCTATTGTATTTACTGAATTAATGGCACATTTAAGTAACTATCAGGTACTGGCACTTTCAGTCTTCTATAAACACACACACAAATTCATTTTTTCCACATCTCTGAACCGACCTGTGTTATTATTACTATGGTAATATCAGGTTTTTCGTTTTCGATACAAAGTCCTGCAGAGTCCAGAATGAGCGACAGATGATGATGATTTGATGCCAGACACAGCCAGATGTGCCACCGCCACATGTTCCCCTAGAATGTTGCATCTAAATTTGAAAGCAAAATGCAGAGCTGAAGTCCCACAGAGGATTCAATGTGGCACACAGATAATAAACACAGTAGAGCAGCACGGCATAAACATTCCAGTGAATTGGGTAGTTCATTTAGCTGATTATGCTGGTGTTGGTGTTGATGATGATGATGGTGAAGATAATGCACTAACCAGGGGGCCGGATAAAGGTAGTAAAAATGAATCAATTTGCTCCATACACTCAGTGCGATAGCCATGTCGGAAGGATGACAAATGTGCACTTCTGCAACTGCTGCATCTTCAATTACTACAATTAAAAAAAGCACAACTGAGAAATACATTTGATGACAAGACCACCGACCGCAAAAAATACATAAAATAAAATTGTAGAATAGGACTCCTCTTTTAAGTATGAATTTTAGGGTTGTCCAATAATATCGGCCAACTGATATTATCCCTCCATCCATCCATCCATCCATTTTCATCCGCTACCGGGTTGCGGGGGCAGCAGTCACCACCCAAATCACATTGCACCGTACCAACCCCCCCAAACCTTCCTGCGGGTGTTGAGTCCACTGGAAGGTACCAACTGCCCTAACTGGGATTCAAACTTGCCCAGGAGGTGAACCCTGGGGTTCCACACCAATGACAGAGACATTGCCTCTGGGCCAAAGCGCCACCCAACCGATATTATCGCTCCGATATTAGCATATTTTGCAGTATCTGTAAGAATCGTAACCCATCACTTTAGTGAGCAGGCAACACTACTTCCACCATTGCCCCGCTTTATCGGTATCGGTTTATATTCAAATTGGAAATTAAGTGTTTGGCCAATATCGTCATATCAGATATCGGCAAAAAGTTAACATTCCGTACTTTGCTTATTATGTATTATTATGTATATTTGTTTATTATGTATATTTTTTCTAAAGATACCTTACCACACACACTAGCCTATTCCTATACATGAACTTCATAACGGCAATGTTTTTTTACCAAAGTGCACCAAAGTAAGTGTGCAAAGTGAGTACAGGATATCCTCAGTTTACAATGCCATCCAGCCTACAGCATTTTGTGTTTACGTAACCATCTCCCATGAATTTATTATGCTATACCTTACCATACACACTAGCCTATTCCTATACATGAACTTCATAACGGCAATGTTTTTTTTACCAAAGTGCACCAAAGTAAGTGTGCAAAGTGAGTACAGGATATCCTCAGTTTACAATGCCATCCAGCCTACAGCATTTTGTGTTTACGTAACCATCTCCCATGAATTTATTAAGAAAGTCTTGTTGCATCATTCCGACGTACGCTGTTAAAACATTTTTTTTCATGGGACCTAGTTGGCTCTTCTGATGTTTCAATGTCTTAGATCATGATGTTACCACTGTAACATCATGTAATTTTTATATCTATTTATGTTATCTTTCATTTTGTTGACGAAGACACCCAAGCATCATTCCAGATGAGTCACTTCATCGTTAAGCACAAGAAACCGCAAGAGATGGTAAAAGGGGCATTCATTGAAGAAGCTGAATTGTTCAGACACTTGTTCAGAAACAAACCAGAAATATTATCTTCAATCAAAGCTCTCTAGGTATCAAGAAATATGATTAAACGGCACTGTGAAGCCGTGGCCCAGGATTTGACCCAGCAACTTTGGAAGTAGTTGGTAGGGTAATGACAAAAAATGTATTGCACAATATGGGTTCATGCAGTTATGCAAGCAACATATATTGTACAAATAAAGAATACTCTCTCTATATATGTTTTGCATTTTTCTTTTATAAGTAGCTATTTATAAGTAGCTGTACGCTGAAAAAGTATGGGCACCTCTGCTTTAGGGTGACGTGTTAAAATGATTATGGTCATTTACCTAGTTGGAAAAAAAGAGGTTGGATAGTGGTTTAAATACCTGAGGTCCTGTAGGCTATTGCAACAACGACAAAAAAATCCCGAATAATTTACAATGACGTGCGGATAGGAAGCAGGCGCCATGTCTTTTCTGGAGATTTGCATGACATATCAAACATACCATATGGGATGGGGACGTCCAGATCGCCCTGCCAAGCGAGCTGCTCAAATTCTTCGAAGGACCGTTGCGCTATGACACAAAAACAGAAAGTCTTTGTTTACAACTCATTCTGACCACATGTTTTAGGAAATCTTAAGTTTCTTGGCTATTTCTGGCATGGAGTAGGCTTCATTTGTAAGAACAATAAGACTGTCGGGTTTCACATCAAAGTTTAGATTTGAGAGTATAAACAAACCCACAAATTGGATGCTCCAAATACTCGACTAGCTCAAAGGTAGGCCAGTTCTATAGCTTCTCTAAACATCACAGCAGTTTTCAGATGTGCTAACATACAACCATAAAGATATTTCATTAAAACGTTGTTATAAGTAACCAATTTATTAAATTTAGTAAATATTATAAAACATTTGTTAAAGTTAGTTAACCAATCCAAACCAATAGCTAATCCAGAGAGCAAGTGGCAGAAAACCAAATTATAGGCAAAAAAGA